TCGCTGCTTGTCTTACTTCCCTCATCTTCCAACAGTACAGAAATGGGTTAAGTGATGCGTTTAACGAAACCAGAGAAAATGTTACAAACACGCGAGGTAAGGAGATGGTGTAGCCAGTTCAGTGACACCAATGGCAGAAAGGAATGGAATGGGATGGAATGGACTGGAATGGGTCCGACTTTTGGCTATGACTAAACAAAGGAAAGTTGTTTGGAAATTATCGGAAGTGATACTAAGACGTAAAAAGTTAGTAATTCCGGAATGTTGCCCACGAAAACTTGAAAAAACGACCACGCACTTCGCCCAAAGAGGAAGTTTTTTAGGGAAAACGTGAAATGGAAAACATTCTTCCCGAACGAAAAATTAAACAAGAAACTTTAAAAAAAGGTAAACAGCTATTCTCACTAATTTCGGAGAGTCGCTATCCTCTAGCTTGGGTACTAGTATTAATATATAACGAGATAATCACGATATATCCTTTGCACGATCACTGTCACCTCGTATCTGGCATTCACTCTAAGCTGCTGTCACTTGTATGCTAAAAAGCTAAACTGGATAATCAAGGGTGGTGTAAGTGACCAAATTACAAAAATACAGCTTACAGTGAACCTTACTGAAGGCTTGCCCACTTATACCATTTGAAACCGCTATAACCTGGGTGGCATGGAGTTTAAGTGTTTACCTTGAATAACCTAGTATTTCAAGTAGGAACTAAGATTCTTACCAAAGTTGTATTAACTCGGTCCAGTTATCACTGAAACCCTTCAGATCAGTGCTATAGTGTTTGCGGTGGTTAAATATCGTTTTCCAGTTTGTTAGCAGCGCAAACCATTGTCAAAAGATTAGGAACTCGTGAATCTTAATCCACAATGAAAAGCTTGAATCTGTTTATGTTTTATTTAATTTAATTCTGAACGTTCTATTTGACCATAGCACCATCAAAAGACATCGCGGCTAGCTACTGGTCTTCAAAGTTTAATTAATTTCTTAACAAAGTTTCTTTCTTTCTAAGTGTTTCAAAAAAATTCAATGAAGATGCAATATTATCAGAACGCTAGGTGAGTTTATGTTAGAAAAACTTTGGGCAATAAAAACTGATAAGATATCTTACATGAAAAAGGCGAGGGCCAATGTTAGGAAAGAAACTATAAACAATTTGCATCTGAGCTCGAGGTACAATGTTAGATTCAATGACTAGGTGAGGTGATACTAGAACAAAGCCATTAAAAAAGTAAAAACAGTTAAAACTCGCAGCATTTAATATGAAAAGGTATGGGCAGCTTTAAGAAAAAACATCCATTTAATACATAAAATCTACACAAACACCGTTGGGTAACTTAAGTAAAAGAAATTATTTTTTTTCGGGACTTTTTCATCGCACAGCAGAGACGTCCTTAGAGCGAAGCACCTGACCCCACTTCAACCCGCACCGTATAGCCCACATTATCACAGATTTAAACAGCTAAAGGTTCCATTTATTTTAAGAAATATATTTACATAATCAAAGCAGGATATTGACTTTATGAGATGAATCCATCATTTACTGATCTGTGTTGTAAAAAAAAAAAAAAGTTGCATAATCTCTTTTCACTGATTTCCAGACTTCTTTCTAAAATTCCTGCTTATGATTTTGTGGTACATGACAAAACAATATAAACCTAAATGATGATTCTGCAAAACAAGGCTGCCAAGATTATTCTCAGTTTACCTAATTTTTATTCTTCTACAGACGTATTGAAAGAACTTTGTTGGCTAACACTTTTTAAAAATAGGTTATTTCACCTCTGTGTCTTCGTTTTTGCTCATGGATGAGTAACATCCATGAGCTTACGAGGCAGTCGGATGGCGCTCGATCACCCACTCACTCACTCGATTCTAATTAATTTATTCATTAAACCTGGATTAAACAATTTTCTCCTACCTCCCATGCTAAGTATTGTTTTTGTTCGAGAGTGTTCACTCGTGTTCAGGAAGGTTCTTTGACGAGAGGGGACCAGAAAGGCGTACATTTTTGCCCGATAAATCGAGAGCCTGGGTACGAGTTTGTCGAACACCTCATTGAAGTCAGTCATTTTGGTTTGATGTGATTTTCTCTCGTAAATATGTTTTTTTTTTTTTTGCCTATCAGCTTTTGCTCACACCTAGATGAAGGCTGGTAGAGATATTTTTGACTGTGGTCATGTATCATGCACAACAACACGGTCGGCGAGGTCAAAGATTTGATACATGACACCCGGGAAGACGAAGCCAGAAAGTGAGATCGTGATTAGCATATGGGAGAAGTTAAGCTCCTAGGTTTTTTTCTTGGCAAGAGAATTTGATGGTTACCACTCGCTTTCTGTCGTTGTGGAGTCCAAGGTAAGCTTAAATTCTTGCTAGGCTTTGGTTTCATTGTTTATTTATTGTTTTATTTTGTACGCACACATTGAAATTCTGCCT